ATGAGCGGCTCCAGGCGGCTTTAGGGACTAGTGTGAAAACGTCCTGAGGCTGTTGTACTTTGGGAACATCATGACAAGAGAGGACTTTTTGGAAAAAACAATAATGCTGGGAAAGGTGGAGGGAAGTAGGAAGAGAGGAGGGCCACATGCCAGATGGATGGACTCTATTAAGGAGGTCACTATGGGCATTAAGGGGTTGAGGAATTAAGCAGAGCAGTGGAGGACACAGGGGGTCTTCTTGGAGATGTCTCATCCATAGGGCAGCCATGAGTCACGATCAACTCGAGGGCAGTTAACAACATAATCTAGAGAAGCAAGCGTTCAGCTTGTACAATGTGATTTCCTACTCCTTTCTTCCCTTCTTCATTTTTAGGCAGCCTTATGGGTGAAAATCTGGAATGCCATGAAACGGTGCTGAAAGGTGGATGAAAGAAAGGAAAAGATCAGACTGGGGGAGGCTAAAGGGTTGCCCAAGATGACCAAACTGAGGCTGTCGTACTTTGGACACATCATGAGAAGAGAGGACTTATTGGAAAAGACAATAATGCTGGGAAAGGTGGAGGGAAGTAGGAAGAGAGGAGGGCCACGTGCCAGATGGATGGACTCTATTAAGGAGGTCATTGGTATTAAGGGGTTGCAGGAATGAAGCAGAGCAGTGGAGGATGGGGGTCTTAGGATGATGTCTCAGCCCTAGGGTCGCGTCTTTGGCCATGCCCTCCTTTTTTTCCTGGGGCGGCGAGGAGCCCCCTCCCAGCTGGGCAAGGGCTTCATAGTGGGCTGGACTGGGCTGGACTGGGCTGGGCTCTCCTCGCCAGGGAGGCGCTTTGGGCTGCGGCTGGAAAGGAAAGCAAGGGCAGCCAAGGCGGAGGATGCTGGTGCTGCTGGTGCTGGGAGTGAGGCGGGCGCCTGCTTTCTCTGCCTGGGAGTGGTGGTGCCTTGGCCAGCCTCTGGAGGAGGAAGACCCTCCGGAGCGCCAGGTGAGTAAAGAGGAGGGAGGGAAGGTGTGTGTGTGTGTCTGTGTGAGACCAGGTGTCCTCACCGCCAAAGCACCACAACATGGAGCACCTTCCAGAAAGAAGGAAGGAAAAATGTGGGACGTGACCCAAGAAAAGCTACCAAACACTCCTATTAGAAATGTCAAGCCATGCTCCTGCTCCAAGTGAAAGGCGTTTGGGAATTTCTCCTGGGGAGGAGGAGGAGGTAATGCAATGGAGGACATGTCCTGGGAAAGGAGGACCTCTGGTCACCCTGCCCTGGGCGGTTTCTCTCTCTCTCTCTCTCTCTCTCTCCTCACTCCCAGAGGAGGACCTTGGTTGTTGTCATTGTGAGGTGAGGGTGACTAGGAGGACGAGGCACCTCTCAATGGAGGACCTTCGAGAAAAATGCAGGACGCGACTGAAGAAAAGCTGCCAAGCGCTCCTATTAGAAATGTCTGTCCCTGCTTCTTAGTCCTGCTCCAAATGGAGGATGTTTGAGAATTCCTCCTGGACAAAAGGCGGAAACGGAGGACAGGTCCGGGAAAAGGAGGACGTGCCTGGTCACCCTGGTGAGGGCCCCACTTTGGGCGGGAAGGGACTGACCCTCAGGGTTGTTTTCCTGGGGGTTGAAGGGTGCCTCGCCCTTTGGGGGCTCCTTTGGAGGACTCTGGCTGCTACCCAGAACCTGGGCAAACTCCTCCTGAGTTTTTAATACAGTTTAACTTTCCATGCATAATTGTTTAAACATTTTTTTAAAATTTAATTTTATGTTTTTACATTGTAAAGCTTTTGTATTGTTTTAAATTTTAGTTTTAAATTCGTGTGCAATGCCTTGAGCCCCTAGATTGAGAAAAAGGTGGGATATAAGTTGTTGTTGTTGTTGTTATTATTATTATAGGGAGAAGAACACTTCACATTGTTGAGTCCCTATTGAGAGAAAGGTGGGATGTAAGTAAGTAATAATAATAACAGAAATTGGGGGGGGGGAGGCATACTTCACATTGTTTTTCTCTTGGCCAGAGAAACTGGGGGAAGAACCCTGCAGGTAAGGTTTGCCTTTCCTACATGGACTGTGGATGCATCCACACTGAAGAATTAATCCATTTTGATGCCACTTTAACTGCCATGGCTCAGTGCTATGGAATTCTGTTTGTTGTGCACAACAAATTTTGGATCTGACCCAGATGATATCTGTGGCTCTCCAGTGGTCCTTGGACTCCATCATCTTATCCCAGTTGGACTGGTTTTGATGGGAGCTGGCATCCAATTGCATCTGGAAGGCAACAGGTCTCTCCAACCCAGATAAGATCAGACGTTGTTGTTGTGCGCCTTCAAGTCATTTCTGACTTACGGCAACACTAAGGCTAACACTATCATGGGGTTTTCTTGGTAGGATTTGTTCAGAGGAGGTTTGCCATTGTCTTACCTTGAGGCTGAGAGAGTGTGACTTGCCTAAGGTCACCCAGTGGGTTTCCATGGCTGAACCAGGATTGAAACCCTCGTCTCTCAGAGTCCTGGTCCAACATGCCATGCTGGCTCTCTGACTTAAAGCAGCCCTATTATGAGGTCTTCTTGGCAAGTTTTGGCAGAGGTTTGCCATTATCTTCCTCTTGAGGCTTACCCTTAGTCACCTAGAAGGTTTCCATGATTGAGTGGGGATTTGGACCCTGGTTTCCCAAAGTCTTAACTACACTGGCTCTAGATCACACAAACACACAAAGCAGCATTTCTGATTAGTGTGTAAGAGAGAACATGTGTGCCTATGAACATCTTTACATTGCAGTCCTAAGCAACAGTTACTTGGAAAAAGTTCTCCATGCCTTTCAGTGAAGCCTAGAATATTTAACTAGCCATTGTCTTGAGGCGTTTATTCTGTTTTCAACAGGATGGCATGGCTCATCATTGCTCCTGTTTTACAGAGGAAGACGTCAAGGTTGCAGTTGTAAAGAACCTACTTTGCAGGCAGAAGGTTCCAGTTTCAATTATCAATCAGTGAAACGGATCAGAGAGTGCTGGGGAAAGCCACTGTACTATGGCATAGTGGATATTTTTGGCTAGTTCAAACTGAAGGAACTTTTGTTCATATTATAATATTGTTGTTAATTAACTTTCTTTGTTCCCTTCCTTTCATTCAAACTTAGCACTGTTTTCGGCTTCAGCTGCCAGATTACCTGCCAAAATAGCCAATAGTGAGGGATACATCCAACAACATCTGGAGAGGCATAGTTGCCCATTCCTGCACTAGATAGACCGGGGTAGGCAACCTTATTGAGCCAGGGGCCGGGTTGCTGTCCCTCAGACAATTGAGGGGGCCGAAGCACCCAAAATAAATAAATAAATAAATAAAAATAAAACATTTTTTAAAAAATTTAAAAAATATGCATGCACACTCTCTCAGACCCAGAAAAGCCATGGCAAAACCCCTGTGGAGATTTTGCCAAGAAAATCCCAAGAACTAGTAATAACAACAATAATCAATATCATCATGGTGGGGGGCAGCAGGACCGGCCTAGGGCTGGTCCAAAGGCCTCGTGGGGCCGCATCCGGCCCCCAGGCCTTAGGTTGCCTACCCCTGAGATAGACAAATAGTTTTATGTGTTCTTAAAACAGTTTTCTCCAAACATTTTGGATTGCATCTCTCAACACCTCCAGGTCAGCAGTGACTGGAGTTAGAATGCAAAACATCAGATGAACACCACATTGGTAAATGTTGTCTTAAAAAGCATGACTTAGCCAATGTTGACTAAGCTGGGATTTGAATTTATATGATCCTTTGAACTCTGGTGTGTTCTCCTAATGGAGGATAAAGTTAGTAGGGACAGCTATAATGCTAGCAATATATTATCTCCACTAACTGTCAACACACCTCTCAGTGCCACTTGCTGAGGAATATATGTGGGACGGTGTTGTTGTGCTTATCACCTGTTATGGGCTTCTTGCAGGCATCTTATTAGCCACCATGGCAACCAAATACTGGATGTGATAGGCCTCTGGTTAGGTTAGAGTCCAGCATGACTAATCTTATGGTCATATTTCCAGACAGAATTGCTAGAACTTGGAGAGAAAGGGGCAAAAATGACACCAGAATTTGGCTTTTGTGTCCACAGACGGAATTATTGTTGAATTATGCAGAAGCTCTAAGAAACACCTGAATAGTTTGGCACATTTTTAAGAGAATGAACAGATCTTTTGTACCTTTAACAGCTACTTAAGCAGAGAACATTCAACAGATGAGACTAAACCAGCATATTAATACTGTAATAACAAGCTTCACCTGCTGAATTGTCTCCCAGAGTTCTTAAAAGAACCAGGAGCCCTGCAAGAAAAACTGCAATTGGTGACAATTCTGTTTCTTGAATCATTCTTGCTTTCTCCATCCTATGAACAATTATCTCTGTTCACTGTTATCTCTTTTCCCAAATCATTACCTCTTCTGTGGCATGTGAGTAAACATTATAAGTGAAAGGACAGAAAAGAAATTCTAATCAGAAAAACTTGAGGGCAGCTATATTTGTAATATGTGGAGATTTGGTTATGTGGTTTGCTAATACTGAAATTGACATGCTTCCATATACTGTATTTTCAGTACAAAAATTACAGATATTAAATTTACCATAATCCTGTTGGAAATCTAATAAATATGTTGAAAAGCTTTCTAATAACATTATAAAAGTAATGATTTATGATTGAGAATATCCATCCCATTGCTCACTGCCATAAAGTCTAAAAATCTCCTGAAATATCCTGACTTCAAGAAAATAGTCTTTCCATCCACATCCTTTTGTCCTAGCTCTAGCAATAGGCAAATAGTAACAGGTAATTGGCAGATAGTAGTCAAATAGTTGCTAGTGTGGTGTAGTGGTTTGAATGCAGGACTATGACTCTTGAGATCGGGTTTGAATCCACGCTGAGCCATGGTAAACCATGGGTTATCTTGGACACGCCACACACTCTCAGCCTCAGAGGAGTGCAAAGGCAACCTTCTCTCGACAAATCTTGTCAAGAAAACCCCATGATAAGTTTACCTTAGGGTAAGAAACCACTTGAAGGCACACAGTAACAACAGCAAATAGTTTCCCATGAAAGTGCTCTGAAAATATTAGGATAATCCCATGTAAGGTGTGGCTGCTTAGAAGTAAGTTCCACTATATTCAATGAAATATTAGGATAATCCCATGTAAGGTGTGGCTGCTTAGAAGTAAGTTCCACTATATTCAATGAAATTTACTCCCAAGTAAGAATGCACAGGGTTGTTACCTATGGTTGGATTGAAAGGTACTATCAGGTGAACTGAATAGAAAGCAGATAGCTTGAAGTGAATACTCCCATGTTAGATTGGGCACAGAACCTACAAGAACAGGGATGAGGAACCAGTGGTCCTTCATATGTAATTGGAATAAATAGCCTACCACCCCTGAATACTGGCCCTACAGATTGGAGCTGGTGGGAGTCAGGAGGGCCCTAGATCCCCTATTCCTCACTTAGATATTGAGAAAAAATCTGCACTGTCACAGTAGAAGAAATACAATGTGGGAATACATGGCTCCCTAGTTGTGACATTCCCTCCCTCTGGAGGCCTGATTGGCACCAACACTGGAATCATTTTAGCTCTGAGTTAAAACCTGACTTTTTATTAAAGCACTTGGGCTACACTGATTTTAGCATATGCTTTTTAACAGATTTTAAACTGTCTGCTTTAAACTGGAAAATTAATTAATATATTTTAACTCTTTTAAATTTTTATAATTATTTATTGTTTAATTTGATTTTATTGTAAGCCACCCTGAGATGTTTAGATAAAAGGTGGGATTTCAATATTTTAATTAACGAATTAATTAAAGTAATGGTCATTTAGGTCAGGGAATAGCAAGTATGGTTCTCAAGTTATCTCTATTGTCTAATTTCCAGGTGCCCTCACTAGCATAATCAGTAGGATTATGGGAGTTATAATATGAAAAGATATCTAGAAGGCTGTACTTGCCCACTGAATTCCCTGCAACAGGCTGCAGAAACAGAGGAGGTGCTCCTGCTTAGAATCCATTATCCCCTATTCCAGTTTTCAATCCTGGTCCATTCTGTTTGCAGGGGCATGCTTTAAGAGTATGTTGCTGTTGCTGTGTGCCTTCAAATAATTTCCATGAACCTATAATGGGGTTTTCTTGGCAAGCTTTGTTCAGAGGTGGTTTGCCATTGCCTTCCCCTGAGGCTGAGAACATGTGACTTGCCCAAGGTCACCCAGTGGGTTTCCATACCTGAGAAGGGAATTGAACCCTTGTCTCCAGAATCATAGACCAACACTCAAACCATTATGCCATGCTGGCTTTTTAAGAATATACGGAACTAGAAAGCAGGGACACTTTAGTACGTATGTGGGCATTACAGTACTATGATTCTTCTACATGCAGTCAAATTCCTACATCCCTAAAATTGAGCCAGTGGGTGATTCAAATAACAGTTAAAATTCCACAATCTCAAAGCCTAGGTTGTGTGTATGGAGTTTATCACATGGGGGAAATCCCATGCAGAAATTGTGTGCCTTCAAGGAAAATCCCAAAAGTGAAAAGGAGCAGCTTTTATCTACTTTCTGTTTGGGTTAACAACACTTCAACAATGACATGTGTGAAAATCAACACGCTTTTGCAGGTTTTTTCCAGCTTTTAAATCCTGTTTCTGCATGGGATTTCCCCTATGTGATTAACTCCTAAGTCACACCAATCTTAAGGCTAAAGACTTGTGCCCATTTTATTTATTTTTTGTTTCCTCATTGAGGCTGGTATTGAAAAGTCACTTTTGCACCAAGGCAGGTAAATAACTTTCCTTGCCTGCCTGCAGCTGTCATGATGCCAATAGGCAGACACTGGCACTGTATCTATTCGCTTGCATCCGTCATTCTGACTAATGCAGTAGGGTTGCTGTGCCTGTTGCTTCTTGAGAGCCAGCGTGGGCGTGTGCACAAAACAGGAGAATGGAGCAATAGACCCATGGGATTAGCAGGCAACTTTCTCCCACCCCCACCCCAGAAGCAGAAAATGAACACAGCTGATTGCAGAAACTAGCAATAGGAAAGGGTGATCCTGGACAAGTGCCAACAAGCTTGGGTGCTTGTTGCTTGGGGATAGAGGGCTGGCTGATTTCCACTCTGATGGAGAATTATAGTCTTATTTTTCTTGATGGAGGAGCTTTTGGCTGCAAGCAAATTAGATATTTCACTGCTAATACAAGGGCTGCCTACTGAGTGAGAACTCAGAGGTTTGCCTGGCTGTTTACTGCAACTTCCTTGATGTCATCCTGATGGTTTGGACTACAACTCTTATCATTTCCATATAACTTGGGCAATGGGGATGATGGGCTTTGTACTCCAGTAGATCTGGAGGACACTAGAAGGCTGCTCTACTACTAGTTGGAAATTTAGATGTTTACATGAAGGTTTGAGGAAAGGAAAATTATTGTCAGATTTGAATGGTGGAACTTCTTGTACCTAAGCTGCTGTCTTTCCTCAACAGGTCTGCTCCCCAAAGGAGTATGTAAACACTCAGGACTCTTCCAAGTGATCAAGAATCATGCCAGAACAAAGCAATGATTATAGAGTGGTTGTGTTTGGAGCTGCTGGTGTTGGTAAGAGTTCCCTAGTTCTTCGCTTTGTGAGGGGGACTTTCAGGGAAACATACATCCCAACCGTTGAAGATACTTACCGTCAAGTGATCAGCTGTGATAAGAACATCTGCACCCTTCAGATCACAGACACCACTGGAAGTCACCAGTTCCCTGCCATGCAGAGGCTATCCATCTCCAAAGGCCATGCATTCATGTTGGTGTACTCTGTTACCAGTAGGCAGTCAATTGAGGAGCTTCAACCAATCTATGACCAGATCTGTCAGATCAAAGGGGACATCCAGAAGGTCCCAATAATGTTGGTGGGAAACAAGAGCGATGACACACAGCGAGAGGTGGATGCAAGTGAAGGAGAAGTCCTTGCCACCAAATGGAAATGCTCCTTCATGGAGACATCTGCCAAAATGAACTATAATGTGCAAGAACTTTTCCAAGAACTCTTGAATCTGGAAAAGAGAAGAAGCGTAAGTCTCCAAGTGGATGGTAAGAAATCAAAGCAGCAGCAGAAGAAGAATAAACTGAAAGGCAAATGTTCTGTCATGTGAAATGCTGGAGACTAGACCTCCTGTGTTGTTAAGAAGTGGAGAGACTCATTAATGAAGAACATTCTCATATGTTCTGGGAAGTAGCTAAACAGAGATTTTTCATGGGCCATGGATGGTTTTCTTTTTGTTTTTAAGGTCTTGCTCTTAAATTTTGGCCAAGTAATTTAAATACTTGAGGAAATTTGGGTTTTGCATGGTTAATTCTGCACACCAGGTATTAAAAACTATCCTCCACTACCACCATGCCACAACCACCAGTATTAGCCAATGTAGTACAGAATAATATGGTTGAGTATGTGATACAAAGCAACAGAACTCTGCATTTTACCATGGCTTTTTAATCTGTCTTCAGCATATCAGTTCTCCCCTTTTATCCAAATGCTTAAAAGGATGAGTGGTTCACAATGGGACACTAGTCAGTAGGTCAGAAACATAAATCATACTTTGTCTAATAAGCAAAAGGAGTAACATTTTTTTAGAGGGATACTTAACCAGGCTAAAATCGAACACTAACTACTGTAAATGTTTATTCATTTACTGTAGTTCTTTGAACATGTATTTGTGTAAGGCGAAGCTGTATTCCATACCAAAGATATGCTAGTTGTTCCATATTAAAACTTATAATTTTGAATGTGGTGTTGTATATTGGCAAGGTTTTTATGTGAACTATTAAAGTGATTTGAATACCTAGAGTGCATTTAATGATTTATTGGCTATGAAAGTTCCAAAGCTGTCTATCCTAAAAGTAGAATCAATGGATTTGATTCATCAGAATATTCTTGGCATCTTTAAATTAGAGTAGCTGAGATAAGAGCTTGGAGTTTCATTGTCTAGAATAGAAGTACAGTAGTCTCCTTTTTAAAAAAAACCCTAGA